CATTAGACTTTTCTAGTTTCATGTATATTTCCAAAGCTCCATAATGTAAGTTTTCTTTTTTTAAAAAAAGATTTATTTAGGGCCTCCCCTGGTGGCGCAGCGGTTGAGTGCTGGGCTGCGAGGCTGCGCGCAGCCTCTGCAGCACCGGTTTGTTCCCCGGCAGCCAGCGAGGGTCCCACCAAAAAAAAAAAAAAAGATTTATTTATGCATACAAGAGCTGGGGTACAGGCCAGAGATGCGGAGGGTGAGAGGATTCACCAGAGACAGAGTGGGGAATAGAACAGGCAGACTGACCGAAACACACTGCTAAGGGGAGCAGCAGGCCAGACAGGAGAGATCTGCTGTGCCACGTGGGTTGCTTCCTGGAAGGCCGGGGATAGAACTCATGCTGTAGAGGCTGCGGATTGCTTCATAGTGCGGTGCTTAACCCCTTGCGCCACCAGGGAGGCCCCATGAAAGTTTTCTTTTAAGCAGCAGCAGTTAAACCCCCAGATCCATTTTCCCAAGCCACAGTCAGTCCTCTGTCTTCGGCAGAGGTCATTTTATACAGAGTAGAACAGAGGGTTCGAAATGGGACACAGCGGAGAGTGGAAGGTAAGAGCCATACAGGCCAGCCCACACTTTGCAGTGGGTGTGGGTCCATAAAAATGAACATACAAACAAATCATGCAAAGCAATCTAAAAGTCAAGTGTAAAATTTATGGTTATCTGTGAAAGTTAAAAAATATATCTGAAAGGGCCTTCCTGGTGGTGCAGAGGTTAAAGTCTCAGTGCTATCAAGCTAACTATCACCAGTCACTGCAGCATAAGTGCGATTGATCCCTGGCCAGGAAGCTGACCCACATGGCACAGCAGACCTCTCCTGTCTCTCCCACTTTCAGTAGATCCGCCTGTTCTACTCCCCACTCTGTCTCTGGTGAATGAATCCTTTCACCCCAACCCCCACCTCTGGTCTACACCACAGTTCTTGTATGCAAAAAAAAAAATTTTTTTTAATCTAAAAAAAGTCACTTGTGGGTCCTCCCTGGTGGCGCAAAGAGTTAAGACACAACCTATGAAGCAATCCGCAGCCACTGCAGCACGAGTTCGATTCCCCAGCTGGCCAAGGAGCAACTCACATGGCGCAGCAGACCTCTCCTGACTCGCCTGCTGCTCCCCTCAGCAGTGTATTTCAGTCAATCTGCCTGTTGTGTTCCGGTCTCTGGTGAATCCTCTCACCCTCCACACCTCTAGCCTGTACCCCAGTTCTTATATGCATAAATAAATAAATCTTTAACCAGGTTTGTGAAGAGGCTGGAGAGTGGGAAGAAGTGTGGGAAACTTTAAAAAAACAAAAAACTTAGCTTCTGACAGCATAATGATTATAGGAAAGGAACTATGTGTGGGTGGGAGAGATGAGAGTAGAAGGGGCTGGTTGGTGGTGGTGACATTTGTGAATGTGGTTTGCTATCTACAATCGCTGAGGTGAGAAACTACTTTCTACACACTACACAGAAACTGAAATCCATCCAGTGTTGTAATATAATATTACCGTGTGTGTGTACTGAGGCATTGGAAATTTGAATGTCGTTGAGGAACTGATGCTGTTTACCTAGAAACCGTGGAACAAATATCCACATACTGGAACCAAACAAAGTAAGGACTGACCAGAGATTAAAATAGTCACATGTACACACATGCTGACAAATATATAGAGCCCCAGAACTCTTGAGTAATTAGGATTTTACCCTACTGATTTTTCTCTGGGATTCCCCCAAGAAGAGGCTAACCAGATTACCCTCCATTAGGATTTCTCATCTACAGCCTTAAAGACTTTTTTAAAAAGATTTATTTACTGGGGCCTCCCCTGGTGGCACAGGCGGTTGAGCACTGCACTGTGAAGCAATCCGCAGCCTCTGCAGCGCAGGTTCAATACCCGGCCAGCCAGGGAGAAAACCACATGGCGTGGCAGACCTCTCCTGTCTCGCCTGCTGCTCCCCTCAGCAGTGTCATCAGTCTGTCTGCCTGTTCTGCTCCCCACTCTCTCTGGTGAATTCTTTCACCCTTCCGCGCCTCTGACCTTTACCCCAGTTCTTGTGTAAATCTTTAAAAATAAATAAGGTCAGAGAAATAGAAAAATGTATTAGAAAAAGTGGGATATTAAAGGACTAAATAGTTCCATAGTTTAGAATGCTTAAAAAAAAAAAAAGTATAGAGGACACCAACATGATTCAGGAAATTTCTAGAAATGAAGGGTGTGTATTTCTGGTTCTCAGTCTATTGAAAAGCAAACAACTCTTGCAGAATTTTCTTTCTTTTTTTTTTCCAAAGATATATCCATTCATGCATACAAGAACTGGGGTGCAAGCCAGAGGTGTGGGGGAGAGTATTCAACAGAGTGGGGAGTAGATCATGCAGACTGACTGAAACATACTGCTGAGGGGATGAACTAGTGGTGCAGTCACAGTGGCTGGCTGGCTGGCTCTGGCTGGCGACAGCTCAATAGGGCTGTCTTTAACCCCTGCACCACCAGGGAGGCTCCCTGGTTAATTTTCTGACACAAAAGGACTAAATATCCCAACAAATTTCCCAAAAAGAGAAGATGACACAAAGGACCAGTCAGCAGAAAGCCTCGACTAAAAACAGTGTCTTCAATATTCTGAAGGACTATTTCAAATCTGAACTTTATTTAAATTATCAATTAAAATGTGAAAATAGAATAAAAACATGTCTATACATGTAAAATATCAAATTGAAAAATTCTCACCAACACTCTCTCAGGAAGCTGCTAGCTGGTATTCTCGACACAGAAACAGGGAATGAACCAAGGAAAACAAAACCAGGTTACAAGAAATTCAACAGAGGTCAAAGAAACCCCCCAAAATGGAGGGAAATTTGGGGATCCAGGTGTGAAACTTGTCTAACCTGGAGCAGAGCAGGTTTTGATGAGCCTTCCCTATAATAAAGCGGAACTGCTAAACATTCTTGTTGTTTCTGAGGTTTTTTTTTTTAAGATTTATTTATGCATGCAAGAACTGGGGTACAGGCCAGAGGTGTGGGGGGTGAAAGGACCCAGAGACAGAGTGGGGAACCAGAGGCAGATTGAAATACACTGCTGAAGAGAGCAGCAGGCGAGTCAGGAGAGGTCTGCTGCACGTAGATCACCAACCTGGCTGGGGATCAAGCTCTTGCTGCAATGGCTGCAGATAGCCTCATAGGTTGCGTCTTAACCCCTTGCACCATCAGGGAGGCCCCCTGTTTCTGCATCTTAAGAGGAAATTACATTACTGGTGGACAGTTTCAAGATGGATTAATGAAAATTACATTAAAAAGACAAAAAAAATACAACTTACTCCAGAGAGAACAAAAAGTTGTATGGGAAAAAAGATCACAATATATTTATAAGACTTGGCAGCTCAGTATTTTTTTTTTCCAGAATATTGTTCTTACCGGGCCTCCCTAGTGGCGCAAGGGGTTAAGCACCACACTATAAAGCAATCCACAGCCTCTGCAGCACTGAGTTTAATCCCCTGTCAGGAAGCTAACCCACACAGTGCAGCAGACCTCTCCTGTCTCCCTGCTATTCCCTTTAGCAGTGTATTTCTGTCAATGCACCTGTTCCGCTCTCCACTCCGTCCCTGGTGAATCCTCTCACCCCCTCAACACCTCTGGCCTATACGCTAGTTCTTGGATGCATAAATAAATCATTAAAACTCAACATGTTTCCCCCCTTCAGAATCCTCTGCTAGGTACCCCTGTACCAATTCCCTCCTCCTTCTTCAAATTAAAGTCACAAGGTTATTTTTAAACAACCCAAAAGCTACAACTATGCCCCTGCTCTGCTAATAGATAACATTGGAAAAGATAACAAGAATTTTGCAAGCCTGTTTCTCATCTGTAAAAGAAGGATAAAGCCTAAAAGCTCAGTATAGTGTCTGATATTAAGTGGTGAACATTATTTGAATGACTTTTCAGTGAGATGACTAAACTTACTAACAGGATACAAAGGTATATACCCAACCAGCCGTTAATCTCTCAGACATGGGTCATGTTAGGTAGGCATAGCCTTATCCTTGTTATACTTTGGTTTGCATTCTCCTAAAAGTAATTCTTAGGACAAGAACTATCAACCTAGTTTGCAAAGCAATGTGCTTTTCATTAACTGTTCATTAATTTTCATTAATGGGTGAAAGAGATAATGGGTCAAGATCAAAGAAGCCAACACATACATATATCTTCTAATGAAGCTGGCTACACACATACACTTCACTCATTTTAGCAGTCTTTATAACAGCAAAGCTAAAAACAAATCTGAAAAAGAGGTCTGATAAAAGTTCCTTTGAATAGTAAAACTGGTTATTAAAAACTATAGACCTGTATGTGCTAATGTGAAAGTGTCTAGTAGACTATGCCATTAAAATTAAGAACTATTGGGCCTCCCCGGTGGCGCAGCGGTGCCGGTTTGATCCCCGGCTGCTCCCCGACCACCGGAGGAGGGTCCCACATGGCGCGCAGACCTCTCCTGCTGCCCGCTGCTCCCCTCAGCAGTGTACTTCGGTCCTTCTGCCTGCTCTGCTCCCCGCTCTGGCTCTGGTGAATTCTCTCACCCTCCCGTGCTTCTGACTGTACCCAGTGCATGTATAAACAAAACAAACCAACCAAAAAAAAAAATGAAGAACGATTACACAATGGTCCCTATGAAGTAGTAAGTACATCATGTATATTCTGGATCATCAACAGCAAGAAATGGGGAACTTAACTTAGGTGGGATGGTAATTCTTACTTCTTATCCTCACTATACTAAGAATGACATAAGGCTGATTGATCTAGAGTCCAAATGCTTCAAATATGAACAAAAACCATGAGAATAATTTTTCTAAAAACTGTAGCTTTTTTATTCAGCTCAGAGGTAGACAGATGAACATGGAAGGCTGTCCCATTTATCTTGCCCAAAGTTTATATTCCATTTCATTCATCCATCCTACACTGCTAGAAATCTTAAAGAAATAACCAATATTGGCAGAAGAATTCCTTTCTACTTCTTAGCAATACCTCAACAAATCACTTGCAAAGAAGTTACAACTAACTTAAATTTTCAATGTTCAAAGAACTTCATCCTTAGAAGTTCCCAAATAAACCAATCAAACCTGCCACTACCGACAGGAGGGCAGAGTACAATGACTATTTCTATAAGAGACTACAGGGGAAACGTCGGTTACATTATTTGTTGTTAAATCCCTGTGCACGTTAGGGCAGAAGCTGGTGAAACCAACAAAGCAGAGCACACTCGTACAGCTCTGAATGGTTTAAAAAAAAAATTCACAAGTTTTATCTTCAGAGACAACATTAAAACATAATGGAATTGAAGCCTGATACAAAAAGTAGAGAAATATGTACAGGAATTCACAGCCCAGAAGGAAAGGGGACCTTATTAAGAATCAGTGAAAACTCGGCTATTTTACATAGCTAATTTTGAGACAAGTCATATTTAGCACAAAAGCAATTATAGCACAAGTAACACTTCCCTCCCACAGCTCCCAAACTCTAACGACTCGTGTCAGTCTTCTATAACACTGTAATCTTTCTTCAAAGGAGCAGGAATGTGTAAGGTGGTCCCAAACATTGACACGAATTTGAATCTCAAGCAGCAGCTTCACACTTTGAAGATGAAGAGCGCCATGATAGCAGCACTGATGACGCCAGAAATGGGGACTGTGACAAACCAGGCCATAAAAATGTTACGGAAGAGTCGCCAGTCAACAGCCTTTTTGGATCGGAGCCAGCCAACAGATACAATAGACCCCACCTAGGAGAGACAGACACCAAAAAACCAGTTACTAAAGTGTCACTGGCACGTGGTAAATACAAATAGAGCTGAGTTTATGTAAGTCGTAAGTCTGACTACCAGATGAGCCAGATTTTATGAAAGCTACAAATTAAAGGAGAGAACTTGTGGAAGATGAAGGCAATACAAAAATCAAATCATTAACCTGTACTCGCTAGGATAAACATTATGAAAAAAGGAATCCTTCTTTCTGAAGTTTCTCAGTACTTCAATCCTGAGAGACTCTGAGTATAAACTTTTCTCTTTTTTCCCCCAAAGATTTTTATTTATTTATACATACAAGAACTGGGATGTAGTCCAGAGGTGGGGGTATAGGCCAGAAGTGAGAGGATTCAGAGACTGAGTGGGGAGCAGAACAGGCAGATCTACTGAGATACACTGCTGAAAGGAGCAACAAGCAAGACAGGAGAGGTCTGCTGTGCCAAGTGAGTTAGCTCCCTGGCCAGGGATCAAACTCAGTCAAAGTGGCTGGCGACAGCTTGATAGCTCTGAGATGTTAACCCCTATACCAGCAGGGAGGCCCTGAATATAAACGTTCCATAAGTACCTTGCCCTTCAATAGTCCAACAAGTTTCTCATTTGCAGACTCTATATAAAAGGTCTTTGGCATCATTTGGGAAAAATATATATTAATGCTTAGATAGGAGTAATAAACAGACACAAGAAAATTGTTAAACATAAGCCTTTACATTCTTGCAGTTACTTGTCCTACTAAACTTGTACACTCCTCAAAACTCTAAACTTTCCAAACCAATACATCGAAAGGGTAAAAACAAAACAAAACAAAAAACCCCACATATCACTAGAATCATTCAAGACCATTTATTATTATACTTACTTTACAATGTGTTGTACTGACAGGAAGACCAATATTTGATGCAATTACTACAGTGAGGGCAGATGCCAATTCAATACTGAAGCCACTAGAGACACAAAAAAATTATTTGTCAAGAATGAAATTTGACTGTTTTGATCTACTTCAAATTAAGACAACCCTGCTTTGCTTTACTCGGTGACAAAACTGCCACTAACATCTTTAATTTGTTTAATTCCTGAAATTTACTTTAAACTAGGACTGCTTTAAATGGAACTCCTCTCTTCCCTCTAACAATTGAGGTTTTAAGGTACTCTCGAAGTCCATTATTTAAGTGTGCACTTTTAATTTGAACCAAATTATTAGTTTTAGCTCCCAAACAAGCCAAGCATACACTGCTATTCACTCTTAATTTAGGAGAATGGGGTTGAAAAACACCTGACCAAAAAATTCAGTTTAAGAGCCAGACAATAAATATAATCTACAAAGTTCAAGCCAACAACCAGAATAACATCAGGAACTTAAACAAACTTGGTTATTTTAACTAAAGCATGATGCATGTGGCAGTACTACATAGTTATGTATCTTAAGAAAATGAGCATTAACCTCCCTAATAACTGTCTGACCAACTTACCTAGAGGGTGTGATTGGTGTCAGATCTTTCCCCATGGTCTGGATAACTCTCCTTCCCCAAACCCACAGACCAATACAGATACCAACACCACCATAGAGCAGAAGCCACACTGGTATCGCTACTTTTGAAGAAACATCTCCCTTGTCGTAAACCAGATATAAAGCAACCAGGGGGCCAATGGCATTGCTGAAAGAAAAAAGGGCAAATGGGTGACTTTTCAGGCAGAATTAGAACTTGGCAATATCCAACTTGCCAATGGCCTAAAGCAACTCCTCGGTTCTAATAAACAATTCAAACCACAAAACTCAGTTTTAACATTGTATAGGGCACCGATTTTAAGTTTTTCATCTTAAATTCCACAAATTACTATCAAAGAGCTGGAATCCAATCATAATAAACAAACTTTCTCTCAAACACTAGCTGCGTTCCTACGTATAACCTCCTGAAACCCAGTCAAAAAATCCTTTGTAATATCCTTAAAGAAAAATTTTAACAACCGTTTTATTAAGTCAGTAACTGCTATTACCTCATACCATCTATATTATCCAGGGTCTCATGGTGATAGCAGTACCAGCCACAAGCACAGCTTTATGGAACGGAAAATGAGGTATGGAAATAAAATGTCAAGATTCAAAATGAACTGACCTGACATCATTGCCACCATGGGCGAATGACCCAAAGCAGGCTGTAAGGATCTGCAGGAACTGAAAGAGGAGAGACACTTCTGGTTTATCCTGGTCAGACCATTCTTCTAGAGAGTTACTACTTCCTTTTCTGTCACCCAGACCCATCTCTGCCTTGGCACTCATGTCCATCTCAGACGCCGAGTGAATGTCAGACACAGCGTTGCAGTAACTGGTGTAACTGTCCATTCGAATTCGCTTCTTGCTGTCTCCGTTTGGCCATGTAAGCTTTTCCATTTCTTCACCTTTTTGTTCACCTTCTTTGGCACGGAACGAATCCAGAGGCATGCCACAAATTGCCATGGTGTAGGAAGTGTAACTATTGTTGCGCCTCAAGGGTTTGTCACCAGAGTCTCCCATGCAGTCTCCCACCTTGGCCAGATGTAATTTATGGAGCAGCTCTTTGTATAAGCCAGAATCTTTATGCACGGTGTGATACTGATAGTGGCCACTGGAGTTTATCTGGTTACTGACAGCTTGATTGAACTGAACAAGGTTCCCGTTAGGTAACTGCACTGTACCTGACCAAGACCAAAAAGGGAACATTCAATACAAAGAGCATTAGGTTCAAACAGCCTCCACATCAGTACTAGGTGACAAAGTGAAGCTCTAGTTCCCCCACCGGAGGATATTCCACTCACCATTCATGGCACTGTCTATGCTGGTTTCTTCTTTCAGGTCGACGCTGGGAAGCCTCTCTCGCTCAGGAGCTTCCTCTAAGTCTCCCAGTTTGAATGACACTGTTTTCTCTTCCACTACAGCCCTGAGGGGCACAGTGGCGGACCCTCCCTCAGAAACAGGATTCCTGTTTTCAGTGTCACTGAGAGACAACTTCGTTTCTTCATGGTCTTCTTTCAAGCTGTTCTTTTTTTCCATTAACGGCTTTCAGAAGGACTAGACTTTATTTCTCCTAGAAAAAGGGTGTTTTGTTTGGTTTTGACCAACTAACTTGTTCCACATCCCACATCTCAAAATGAGAATATAAACCAGTAAAAATTCATGCTAATTTTCCAATCTGTATTACTTGCCACCACTTATCTTTCCCTTGAAAAAACCAGCAATGCAGAAACTTACATTATCAGGGATGGCAAACTTTTACAGTAGAGTGTTTTAGGCTTCATGGGCTGTTGTGTATTCTTGTTCTTTGTTTTTATGTTATAGTCCTTTTACAAATAGAAAAATTGTCCCATGTCCTTAGCAGACCCATTCTATAATGGGTAACAGTTCAAGTATAGGGCTGACAAAGATTCAAAATTTGGACTGCATCTATCAATAGTTCTTGTTCTTTTTAAATCCTTCCTACCCCGCAAATTCTGTCCACGAGTTCAAGCAAAGTAACACAGCCCAGTGTAGGCAACTTTGATTTCCACTTCTAAAAATAAGGAGACATGCCTTAAGGTTCTAGGTTAGGATTCTAATAAGTTCCATGAGTACACAGGAATATTTTCTATCATTTCCATGGCCAGGACGTTTACCTATTCACTCAGGCATCAAAGTCAAGCTGCAGACTAGGATTAAAACATTGGGCCTCCCCTGGTGGCACAGGCGGTTGAGCGCTGCACTGTGAAGCAGGCTGCAGCCTCTGCAGCGCCGGTTTGATCCTGGCCGGCCCGCAAGGGTCCCAACATGGTGCAGCAGACCTCTCCTGTCACGCCTGTTGCTCCCCTCAGCAGTGTATTTCTCGTCTGTCTGCCTGTTCTGTTCCCTGTTCTGTCTCTGGTGAATCCTCTCACCCTCACCCACATCTGGCGTGTACCCTGGTTCTTGTATAAATAAATCCTTTTTTTTTTTAAATCACCAAGATTTGGGGCCTCCCTGGTGGCACAGGGTTCAAGTCTCAGTGCTATCAAGCTATCGCCAGTCACTGCAGAATGAGTTCGATC